AATCGGGGGACGCCGCGTGGACGGCTGCGCGTTAAGCGACGACTTCCGAAGAAGAAGACCACAGCGTGCCGGAGAGCTCAGGGACTGCTGGAGATGGAGCGGGGTGGGGTGGGAGGGAGGGCGTGCAAGTCGGATGGGGCGTAAGCAGATATGAATTTTACTCAAGTGATGGAAGGTTGGAATACGTTGAGATAGGTGTGCATCACGTCAATACGTACCATTTTAAAGTTCAGAAACGCCTCTCAAATTTGCTATATACAAGCACCTGGAAAACTCCACGCATGATATGATTAAAGGCGCGAGTTGTGTGCGTAGGTCAAATCAGATTGAAATGGTTAAGGGTTTGTATGCGACATGCCATACGAACACCCCTCGGAATTTGCTTGGTCACACTCAACCTGCGCCACATTTTGCACCACCTGTCCTACGCGAATCCAAGTTCTAGCGCGGCACTTGACCTCGTTTGATTTCAAGCCTGCCAAGTTGGACCAGTCTCAGAACCAGAGCTGGGCAGAATTAGCCGCTACCTGAGCTCAGCCTTAGCTCAGCCTTAGCTCTGACTTGATCTGACTTAGTCTGAGTGGACTTAGTCTGCACGAAGACTGCTTGGCTGGACTGAGCTAGGGCGACTAATAGTTCGTGCGATTTATGCCACGGGCCGTTGTCTGTTCCGACTTAGATCGCCCGAGGCGTACGTTTTGGTACCGGTGTTGTAGCCGGTATGAACCGGTATAACCGGCATCATCATTTTTGTCCAGGGCAGCGTTGTGAATCATTTCTATACAAACCTGCACCACTAGAATAGATCACCTCTCTCTAGTTTCACCCGCAGTTCACCATCACCCATATCCAGTGATAACCATGTCCAGTATCCCGAAACCGTCCGCTATTATCCAATTGTTCGCTATCCAGTTTCACTGGCTGCAGGCCATGCTGACGTATGAACCGTTGCGTCAAGATTTCGCGTTAACCCCGTCTAGCCTCGTAGAAGTATTCCGTGTACCATTGACGAGTGACGAATGTCAAGCATCAGCTGGGGCAGAGATGTCAACTCCACTTTAAATCCAGGCCAAGATCTCATTCTTGTCTTGCTGAGATATTTTACTGTCGACCCCGAACTGAACCTGAACTGAAATGAACTGAACCCTACGAACCCCGAACTGTTGCCTGCCCACCCTCTGAACTTATGGGGCTGAGGGGCTATTTACGCTTTGGAACCACGCGTCCGTCCCGGCAGCTCAGTTGGTTAGAGCGCCTGCCCTCCGATCCACCCATCCGTTGCGGGGTCGGTTCTAGTCGCTCTAATGCGCTCGCTATTTGCCACTGCCCTTTGAACGTATGGCTTGCGGTCGATGCCAGCCGTCGCGCTAAAGGTCAGCTGACGTCAGAGGGCAGGACGGATGGTACCGAGCATTGCGGCATGTTGAACTTTCGCCACGAAATAATCCGCTGCATGGAATTGCACGATCGGATTGTGGGTGTCAGGGCTTACACAACAATCGCTGCTTCGCCTGAGCACCGACCCCAGAAATCCATCCATTCAAAGGGTTCCGATCAAATTGAAAAAAAAAACGCGACATCATCTTAGCTGCGGGCTTAAACTTGGCCTCTATGGCTTTTTGGCGTACTTAAGCATATTCGTTCGTAGCTGGTGCGCCCACAGGCCATGTAAAAAATAACAGCTTATGAATAACTGCCCTTCGTCTGATTAGTTGACGGCACATGTACCTGCTATACCGGCAACCTATATGCCGCCGTGATTTTCTACGCACCCGGGATATCGGGATCTCAAATGCGATTGAAACATCGCGATTTCAAGCACTGTCGAAACATCACTATTTCAAGCGCTGTCGAAACATCGTGATTTCGAGCGCAGTCGAAACATTGGGATTTCAAGCGCCGTGGAAACATTGCGATTTCGAGCGCTGTCGAAGCATCGCGATTTCAAGCGCTGTCGAAGCATCGCGATTTCAAGCGCTGCCGAAACATCGCGATTTCAAGCGCTGCCGAAACATCGCGATTTCAAGCGCTGTCAAAACATCGCGATTTCAAGCGCGGTCGAAACATCGGGATTTTCCATGCAGCCGGGACGGGATGCAGCAGTTACAGCCGGCTGCCCAACGCCTACGCCACACTCCGGCTCAAGTCTCTGCCGCGGAAATCTTAACAGGGCTGTTACGGGGAAATCTATTATTGGAACAGCTCGGTCATGCATTCACCCACAATAACACGCTGGTCTGGTGCATCAAAACGGCACGTACGTGGGTATGGAAATTCCAGCCGATGACAACACACGCTTGATGGGGCACGCCTGAACTTCCATCTCCCAAAATACGCTTGATGAGGTGTCCAGAAAGGTCCAGTATTCATCCGAGGTGTTATCGGGTGTCTGAAGGTGCTCAAAAGAAGCAGTGGCTTAAGCCCTCCCTGTGCTGATTTCCAATGTGGTCTTACCCCATGTGACAGCCTTGTTCTGCTAGTTTCTCGGTTCTGCTGGCCTGCTGTCGTGGTCTGGTTCTGACAAACGTGGCGATGATCCAGCGGTGGACTTATAGTGATCACCGATGGCCCAGTTATCATCTCGCAGTGACCTAGCAAGGACCAAGCGATGCAGCTTATTAGTGGGTTTTGCGACGTATCCAGTTCCTGAGGGTGTTTGGCACCTCCTGCCTCTTGCCCTGGCATAAAGGGCAGACGTCGGCCATACGATGCGTGACTCGTTTGTGATGTGAGGACTCAATGACCGCAAAGGATGTGTTCCACATTTGTATGCGGTTTTCAAATGAAATGGCTGTCTTGAAGATCTTCCAGTGTAGCTCACCGCCCTGGCCTTCTAAAGACCTAAACCGCTCTTATTTCTGGGCGACGCGCCTGCGACGATGTATAGACTATTCCGTGTAGACGATTTCAGGGCGACCCAGACATCGTGACACCATAATGACGCCATCCAAATCCTGCCATTCCACTGACCTCGTGGTGATTAAGGCTAAGAAAAAAAGTCGAGTTGTTCATATCTGGCGTTTGTGAGCATGATTTCCAGATATAACGGAGGTCAAGTGGCTCTAAATCAATGTTGTGCAAGGTGCAGTACCGCAATAAAACTAACGTATCGAGGACCATATTTACCAAATGGAGAAGTTGTGTTGTCTAGAGCAGTCTTTCCCACGCAAAAGTGTTCCAATAGTTATAAATGAGCTTATTTCATCATAACTGATGCTTGCTTCAATATCTTCAAATGTGGAACATCACTCTTAACAGCAGACACTCGCTTACTGTTCCCCTGCTTCCAGGATTCCGCTGTCACTAGCCTTGGGCGCGCTCCACGGAGGCACCGTCTCTGGCTACACCCTGGCCATGCTTCACGGCCTGATGGACTTCGACTGCGCTAGCATCTACTCGTGCTAGCACGAAGTGGGAGTCGTAGCACAGAGCTCTTGAGCCGTGCTAACAACAGCGAAGAGTACACCGAGGGTGCTGGCATCTATCGGTGTTAAGAGGAAGGACTGGACCCCACTGGTTTAATTGTTGGACTTCCTGCTGATGTGCCGTCAATTCAGGGGCGCGGCTAGGATTTCCTTTAGGAAGGGGCCTGGATTTTCGTCAGTACACATCACGCCGATTTTTTTTATTTCCTGCCAGGAGACATCACTGGTGAAAAACGAAAAATCTTGACCTAAGGCCGGTGCCCGGGCCCCCCGATCCCCTCCACTGGATGCGCCCCTGTGCTTATCGGTAGTATGTCTTAAACACACGAGTCAACCGGCTGCTTTTACGTACTGACAAATACTCAAGCTCTCGTGAAAAAGATGATGCACTGAGTGGAGGGTCATTGATGTCTGTTTTTATAAGTGAATAAAGCGGCCGTGGTGCGTTCGTGCGTGCTGAGATACACCGTGCAAGCTGAGACACATCGTGCAAGCCCAGACACACCGTGCAAGCTGAGACACACTGTGCGTGCTGAGATATATGGAGGTCGGGTGAATCTTTGCCGCCCAGTTTCTGTGCTGTCGTAGAATGTAGGTGTGCTACCGACTGCGTGTTGAAAACATTCAGAACGCCGTAACGCGAGGATGTGTGAGGCTGTAAGAAGCCGTTGATAACGAGTATCCAAGCCGTTGATAACAAGCATCTAACACTAAAAAGGCTAACATGAACAGTGGCGTAGTTTCGTAAAATGAGTTGTAAGGGGGGGCAGAGAGGTTCAGCAGCGGAAAACGACGTAACCCGCCTCCAAAACACGTCAACGCACAGGTCTTCACTGGATTTGGTCCCCTTTTATCTTATGCTTGGGGGACTGGGGTCAAAGTCGAGAGGGGGGGGGGGGGGGGCGCTGAAGCCCTCCAGCTGACTAGGAAACTACACCTCTGTACTGTATTTGAACAGCTCATTGCCTGTCTGCTGGTGGGTGAACTTCTGTATCGGTGAACATTCACACCCAAGAGACGCAGCTTTCTGATAATAACTAAATGTGTCAACCTGCACGTGTTGTGCACCACTCGCCATGTCGAACACAATTCGCTTCATGTTAACGCGACACAATCACGTGTATTATCACCCTGACATGAGTGCTGTCGGTCTGGCACATGTATACTCAGCCTACCTCGTGCATTATCAGTTCATCACGCTTCGGAGGATCGCCACGTCTCCCACCGCGTGCTTGTTTCCATGTCTCTTACCGCACACTTGTCTCCGTGTCTCTCACCGCGAGCTTGTTCACCCGTCATGTCCTTGCCGCGAACATGTCTCCATATCTCTTACCGCGAACTCGTTGCCATTGTCCCTTGCCGCACACTTGTCTCCGCGTCTCTCACCGCGAGCTTGTTCACTTGGCATGTCCTTGCCGCGAACATGTCTCCATATCTATTAACGCGAACTCGTTGCCATTGTCCCTTAACGCGCACTTTTCTCTGTTTTCCCTTTGCGCGCGCTTATCTCCATGTCGCTGGCCGCGAACTTGTTAATTTGTCAAGTCGCTTGCCGCGCATCTGTCTCGATGTCTTTTACTGCGCAGCGCTTCCAACCGCCTGCTCCTCATCCGCGCACTCCTTCCCGTCCCACGTGTCCAGAAAGTTCACCACATGCCCCAGCACCCGGCCCGGGTGGCAGAGATGCACGTGATGGGTACCGGGCACAGTAACGGTTGTCATCTGCGACCCCAGCGCACGCTTGCAGGCTTCCAGAGCGATGCGCTCGTCCTGCGGTGTCCCCCAGCGGTCGCCGTCGTCGGCCAGGACCACCAGAAGGCGACACTGCAGCCGGGAGAGGTAGGCAGCGTACTGGCGGGCCGACAAGGACTGCAGCAGCGAGGTGATGCGGTGCACGGGGTCAGAGGTCAGGCAGTAGAGGTCAGGGCCCAGCCGCTCGCCGCCGGCGCCCGCGGCGGCCGGCTGCGGGGCAACACTATCGGCCGCATGCAGGTCAAAGGTCGAGCCGTCTGTGGAGTCGGCGGCGGCCGCGCTGCGGGCGGGGTCAGGGGTTGTCTGTTCCCGGTCAGCGGTCATGCGCCCGAGCCCAGAGGTGTCGGAGGTGAGGCGTCGACAGCCGCGCACCAGAAGCGTGTCAGCAGCCGCGGGATCCGCGATGAGCGCGTGCGACATAACCCGGTGCCGAAGCTCTTCATAGGGCACTCCTGTCGGAGGAGTCTGAAGCCGTTTTTCCATCATCTTTGTGTATGCCAGCACGCAGTCCCTGTTGGCAGATGGGCCAGGGTGTCATGTCATTTGTGGACGATGTAATAGCTTGAGTTGGTTATGGACCGATGGGTCACAGATGCACCGTGAAGGATCTAATTAAAAACGTTTCTAATGTGGGATGTAGTGTTCTGTACGGTTTCCAAACTGGATGAAATGAGGCAGCCTTATTGCTTGGAAAGAAACTTAGGAAACTGCAGGTCGTGAACGCAACACAAAAGAAGGCAAAGAATTTGCGGCCTAGCCACGAGCCCAGACTACCTTCCCTACTTTCACACCATCATCGGGCTGGGGCAGGATTTAAGGAGATTTAAGACAGGATTTAAGACCGTCATGTGAGACCCAGACAGTCAGCTGAGCACGTGCAAAAAGTATCTGAAGTACAGGGGGATCCTGATTGACCTGACCCGGTGACTCGGCTCCTTCCTGAACTAACCCGGTGACCTGACCCGGTAGCTGACCTGACCTGATGACCTGGTTCTGACCTGGTGACGTCAGGCTGCTTGGACTCGTCAACTGTCAGCATGACGGGGTCCAGCACGGCCAGCGAGTGCACCTCCAGCGGGAAGCAGGAGGCATACAGCAGGGCCATCCCAGCTCCAAGACTGTGACCCAAGAGGGAGAATTGCTCCCAGCCGAAGAAGCGGCGCACCAGCGCGATGTAGGTGACTCCCTTGAAGAAGTCGTACATGACACCGGCCGGAAGGTGACTGGAGAGGCCGTGGCCTGCGGACAGGCGCGCCGCCAGCGATGGGAAACATGTAGGTCATGGGCGCGCCCAGAAACCCGACACAGCTGTCAAAGAGTCTCCGAGGTTAGGAGCTAATACAGGCAAATGGTCTCAGATGGATTATGTTGTCGCCGGTGAAAGGCGAGGTAACTCCAGGCTATAAGTCTCACGGACCCAGGAAAATGAGTTAAGTTTAATGCGACTTACCAAGTTTTAATGAAACGCAAATCCGCTGTTTCCACGAAGGCAAAGTCCGGCACTGTGCAATCTGATACAGCATACATGACATTATTAAGTTCCGTGCCAATCCAGCTTAAACTTTGAGATATGTCTATCTACACATACATTAAACATATATATATATATATATATATATATATATATATATATATCATTGTTGATAAATGACAAGCTTCTACCCAATCGCGACCCATGCATTTTGGAGCTTGATCCGCTTGTTTCAATGCAACGCATAGATAAATCCATGTCCGTGCAATGATCCAATACCAAAGGGGGCAAAATCTACCCCAACCAAATACAAACGGGTCGAATGGCAGAGCGTGCCGATTACCATCTGGTCGTGGTGGCTCGTGCCATCATGCACCAGGCATCAGGCACCGGTATCAGGCATCAGGCATGCAGCAGCATCAGGCATCAGGTACAAGCATCAGGCCTGTTAGGGCAGTCTCCTGGGCTTTACGGATGATGCCTGTTTAGTGCCTGATGATGCCTGATGATGATGATGCCTGATGATTAGATGCCTGGTGATGCCTGTTCAGTGTCAACCGCTGACTCGGTGGGTTCATGCTGACCCTCACCGGGCAGGTTGATTTTGACCCTAACCTGTAAGGTTGATGTTTACCCTCACCTGGCAGGTTGGTGTTGACCCTAATCTGGCAAATTGATGTCAACCCTAGCCCGGCAGGTCGTTGCCGACAGTCAGCCGGCAGGCCGATGCCGAACTTCACCTGGCAGGTCGATGCCGACCCTAACTTGACAGGTCAATGTCAACCCTAATCTGGCAGGTAGATGCCGACCCTAACTTGACGGGTCAATGTCAACCCTAACCTGGCAGGTAGATGCTGAACCTCACCTGGCAGGTCGATGCCGACCCTAACCTGACAGGTCAGTGTCAACTTAAACCTGGCAGGTCGATGCCGACCTTCTATGTCAACCCTAACCTGGCATGTCGATGCCGAACCTCACCTGGCAGATCAATATCAGCCCTAACCTGGCAGGTCGATGCTGATGCAGCGGTAGCCGGACGGCAGGTGAGGCTGTATGCCCTCAAAGGAGCCGCAGTTGTCCATCAGGCCGTGCAGCATCAGCAAGGGCCTGCCGTCCTCAGGCCCACTGGCGCGACCTGGCGAGCATCGTTGGCGGCATGACTTTGACGTGTGCAGCAGCAGCAGTGACGTCATATTTTTCCGGACAGACCCCACCCCATGCACGAAGGGTTACGAAAAGTTACTCTTTATGATGTCCTGAGGCGTTTTGGAAATTTGGAAACAGCCAGGAGAGAAATCACCGTGTGATGACTTCGTAATGAGCTTTCGAGTTTTTCTGTAGGGAGTGGATTAGAAGCGTCCACAGGTGAAAATTCTACTCGCGGGTAAGATTTAATATCGCACCAATTTCACCCGCTATCCGTAAGGTCTAGGCCCAACCTATTTGCAAAACAGTCCTGATTAACTCCATGACCTTCTCCAAAGTGGTGACCATTTCCCACGCACACCTTTTTGTTTCTCATATCTCCAATAGCCCGATATGGCCCCCAAGCCCGCCTTCTTCTTTCTTGTCTTTTTGTAGTGTAAAAATGGGTTGGGTTTTCTCGTCATTGATAAAACAAGAAATATGGGGGACGTTTTAGCATTGAATCCATCATTTCTCTCTCATAGTTACCACTTTTATGTGAACTGAAGTAATCATGCCTAAAAGGAGTCAATCAAGTGGCAGTTCTAGGAGCACCTGGCAGATACTCCTTGAAGCCCCTACCAATACCCGTACATACTCCCGCGACTTCAGCGAAATCTCTGCCAAACCTAGTCCATTATTCATTCTAACCATATGGCTCTACCGAACACCTCAAGACCTGTCCAAGTAAGTTTTGGTAAATGGCAGCCGTGCCAGAATGTTAATGACACAATACAGTGAGCGCAGGACCCTACAGCCTTCTGTCCGCTGCCAAACTCATCCAGGAACCCACTGCCTTCTGTCCGCTGCCAAGCGCATCAATCCATATTTAGGCGATGAGTGGCGCGGGTCACGCAGGAGAACGAGCGCTGCAGCTCCAGGCATGCCCATTCAAGCTCATTTCAAAACATTCAGAACATATCTCATATATGCTAGAAGTGATGAACGCTTGGTAGTAACGATAAGCTCAGGTACAAACAGCTCTGAAGTTCTGGATAATTATCTGTGGGCATCATCCAGAGGCGAAGCCAAGGAGGTGCCCTCGCCCCCCCCCCCCCCCCCAAGCACATAGTTTCGTTTTCAGATGATGGATGATGTAAGATGGCTTCCGACAGAAAGGCAAACATCGACGTGATGCGTACTCCACAGTTTCGCGCCCTCCCCTTAAGGAAATCCTGGCTGCGCCCCTGGTATCACCTCAGTCCGAGAAGCCGACAGGGCTTAAAATATCAGCTTGATCCGAAGTCCATCAGCATTAAAAAAACGTGCAGCGATTGGACGCCATCGTTATGCATCGACGAAATCGACGCTTCGACGAATTCACGAAATGGTCAGCCGCAACACACACCTGCAATATGCCCCCAAGGCACCGGTACCCTCAGATCCTGGTAAGTTCCCATATCGCGCTGCGCGCCCGAACGAGTGGCCTCGCCAGCGACGAGGTCACAGAGCGCCAGACAGCCGAGGCCAGTGACATCGCCCAGCCGGGTGGACCGGTCGCAGAACAGGACGACTGCTGCCTTCGCAGGTTGAGCACTAAACCGACTGGGCGGTCCGGTGATTCGCCCGCGGTTTTATCACAGCGGTGGCGGGGGAGAAGGGGGAGGGGGGAAGACAATCCGGGACATGTTTGCCTTGGATGGCGTTAACAGTAGGGGCCAAAGGACTGTGGACTCGTGAGCCGTAAACCAACCGGTTGTTGACATTATGACCACCTGCATGAGAATGATGCAAGCTCGTCTGCGTAGTTGAATGATAATAATAATAAATACGTAATCACACGAGCGTATGCAGGGGGTCCTACGAGTTTTGCAGGCTCTAGGCGTAGTTCACGTGCTTATGGATCATCGGGGTTTGTTTATTATCGGAGTTAATTTATTATTTACATTGACGTTCATAGGTGGCCATAGGTGACGCCACATGTTTCTGGTTAGAGCTGGGGAGGGGCGGGGGGGGGGGGAGGGAGCAGGGACGGGTTTTAAGTTGGCCGTGTAAACTTAAGTCGGAAGCTCAGCTGGCGCTGTTTTCTGACTCCCCTGCGTGCCACTCCGCAAGTGGTACCTGCTGACTTTTTGGGGTCTCCTAAACTCTAAAAGGCTGACCTCATCACTTATAGTCGAATTATTTGTGATGTCCCACATCAAGAATAACTCGAATTAGATGAAGCGGGTGGGTTGCGCCTCATGCTGAATAGCTCTGACCCCAAGAGCAACGCGTCCCTACATCTCTGGGCTGCGATCTTCATGCAATAAGAACATAACACCAGTACAAACGGTCTCTTAAGTGCATAGGATAAGGGCTCCAGAGACAAGGTAGCCGAAGCAACAGCAGCAAAGTGATTAATGAGGTCGGACAGGTCAGCACAGTGGAATGATCTGCGCACCGGCAACGCTGCGCAGATCGTGATGAAATAGAATCTGCCGATTTAGAAACTTGTCTAGGACTGGTCAAAAGCATTAGTCAAAACGGCCAAAAACATCAGACCAAATCGAAGGAAAATGTTGACTGCGCTATGAACCCCTACGACGCCCAAAGTCTATACGAGCAACAACGTGGGCAGAGGACTGTTATTTTCTTTGGTTCCTGGTTTCGTGAGCATATCCTTCACTTTTGGCCTGAGTTCATCACAGTAGGTCTTCACAAGTAGGTAGCGGACGTCACTGTCATCACATATGGTCGAATTATTCTTGATGTCACACATCAAGAATAGTTCGAATTAGATGAGCGGGTGGGTTGCGCCTCATGCTGAATAGCTCCGACCCCAAGGGCAGCGCGTCCCGTACATCTCTGGGCTGCGTCCGCCGTGCGGACGTCCGCCGTGCGGCTGACCGGGCAGGTCTCGCCGGGGTCGCGGTCAGGCGTGGTCTGAGATGGAAGGTCACGGTCAGGCGTGGACTGAGATGGAGGGTCGCGGTCAGGCGTAGGATGAGACGGAAGGTCACGGCCAGACGTGGACTGAGGTGGAGGGTCACAGTCAGACGTAGACTGACGTGGAAGGTCGCAGTCAGGCGTGGACTGAGGTGGAAAGCCTCGGTCAGGGGCGGACTGAGATGGAAGGTCGCGGTCAGGGGCGGACTGAGATGGAAGGTCGCGGTCAGGCGTAGACTGAAATAGAAGATATAGCGCGGAACGGTACTTGACCAAAACTGGACACAATTCATGGTTAATAAAAAAAACAGTCCTCATGCCACAAATGCGGAGAGAAGTGCGTGACACGCACCTTCCAGACGGAGGTCCGCTTGTCCCTTTAGTAAATCGAAACGGTTGGACTCAGCACGCCGCTGCCGATGGTAGTGTTGGATATTGGAAACCAGATACTTTGTCTGATCTCAGATTCCTGCACGTAGAGTCCGGACTTATATTCAGTACTCGTGGTTGGGAAACTCTGCCGAACCTACGCGTCTTGTGATCCGCAGCCGCTCTCTGCTCCGTAATTCCGCCTAAGACCATAAAGTGGATCTTATCGGCTTCCCCTTACCAGCTTCAAGGTGCAGAGACCGCCGTTTGCAGATAAAGCACTGTGTGGTAGTGTTTGTACCTGAGTCAAGTCCACTGCACCATGCACTTCGAGTTGAACTCGTGGGCCGCCACGTGGCGGTAAGGCCATGCTGCGAGCACAAAGCAAAGGTTGACACCGAGACCGACAGGACTGTGTACCCCAATCGCGTGGATTTCGCGCTTTCCGTGTATCCCCAGTGATGTCATGTGTGTTTGCGGGGATTGATAGGTCTGATAACCGTGCCCATCAACTCAAACCGAGTTCCGGGACACGCAGGCGTCTTCGCTCGCGCCACATCAGCGTGTTGATCAGAGACGTGATAACAATATTTGAAAAGCCACGTCGGCAGACATGATTAATTCGCATATCAAAACTTGCATAATGTCTCTTTTTATACGATGATGTTTGCTTGGAAGGTGGCGATGTTTGATGTTTGATGTTTGCGAGTCGATGTTTACTTGATAACATCGTCTCAGTAGTGCCTCATAGCATATTTATTGCCAGCAATTACGAACACATGGACCCATGCCTAAAAACAAGTAACTGAAGACTCATATCAAGTATGTAGATAAGAATTCAATAGACCATGAAGTGGATATAACCGACTTCCCCTCGCCAGCAATATCTCACTAGCCCGATAGTACACAACGTCGGCAAGCGTTGAGCATTAGGCGACGCCACGACCAGTCTTTCGATAGATTTGTGCTAAGCTTGCATCATCTTAAAAAAGGAAAAAGCTCGTAAAATCGCGATTTGACTAGGAAGCTTCAATAGTGGGCACATAAATACCAGCATGTGCGCATGAACTTAGACGAAGGAATAGGGAAAATGTAATACGAAAAAATCATGCCACCGTGATTTGGTAGTAATTTTGCGGAAAATGTCGCAAATATAGGCGAATCCAATAAGACGCACGAATCCAACTTTTTTCTTAGCAGCGGATCGGGGGTTGGCAAAGGTACCTTTAGTACCTTCTCAATACCTTTAGTGCCAAAACTCGCCAAGGCACTCGGTGGAAGATAGGCGTTTTGCAGCGGAGACTGAAACCGCGCTTCGTGGAAATTTATCATTTATTCAAGGTAAGATATCAAGTGACCCGAGAAAGATAGGCCCCTTCATAAAAAATGCAATGTGGCTGCTGGCAACAATATCTAAAATATATGTCCCAAATCAAGCGGAGAGTTTAAGCTTTTGGTGAATGGTTTAACCACGTACACTTCGGGAAGAGGAAACCACGATATCCAAGAACGAAAAAAGAAAGTTATGAATGAATGAGGAATGAGTGGAAAGGACTTTGTGTTTTTGGACGCCCGAGCCTAACAACAACAAAACATTTGAGGACGGTACGTTGTCCCTTTTCTTTTTCAACCTCGGTGCGGATTAGGAGATTTCCACTGGCGACTCCTGTTTTTC